TGTCATGCACTGCACTAGCACATGTCATGCACTGCACTAGCACATGTCATGCACTGCACTAGCACATGTCATGCACTGCACTAGCACATGTCATGCACTGCACTAGCACATGTCATGCACTGCACTAGCACATGTCATGCACTGCACTAGCACATGTCATGCACTGCACTAGCACATGTCATGCACTGCACTAGCACATGTCATGCACTGCACTAGCACATGTCATGCACTGCACTAGCACATGTCATGCACTGCACTAGCACATGTCATGCACTGCACTAGCACATGTCATGCACTGCACTAGCACATGTCATGCACTGCACTAGCACATGTCATGCACTGCACTAGCACATGTCATGCACTGCACTAGCACATGTCATGCACTGCACTAGCACATGTCATGCACTGCACTAGCACATGTCATGCACTGCACTAGCACATGTCATGCACTGCACTAGCACATGTCATGCACTGCACTAGCACATGTCATGCACTGCACTAGCACATGTCATGCACTGCACTAGCACATGTCATGCACTGCACTAGCACATGTCATGCACTGCACTAGCACATGTCATGCACTGCACTAGCACATGTCATGCACTGCACTAGCACATGTCATGCACTGCACTAGCACATGTCATGCGCTGCACTAGCACATGTCATGCACTGCACTAGCACATGTCATGCACTGCACTAGCACATGTCATGCACTGCACTAGCACATGTCATGCACTGCACTAGCACATGTCATGCACTGCACTAGCACATGTCATGCACTGCACTAGCACATGTCATGCACTGCACTAGCACATGTCATGCACTGCACTAGCACATGTCATGCACTGCACTAGCACATGTCATGCACTGCACTAGCACATGTCATGCACTGCACTAGCACATGTCATGCACTGCACTAGCACATGTCATGCACTGCACTAGCACATGTCATGCACTGCACTAGCACATGTCATGCACTGCACTAGCACATGTCATGCACTGCACTAGCACATGTCATGCACTGCACTAGCACATGTCATGCACTGCACTAGCACATGTCATGCACTGCACTAGCACATGTCATGCACTGCACTAGCACATGTCATGCACTGCACTAGCACATGTCATGCACTGCACTAGCACATGTCATGCACTGCACTAGCACATGTCATGCACTGCACTAGCACATGTCATGCACTGCACTAGCACATGTCATGCACTGCACTAGCACATGTCATGCACTGCACTAGCACATGTCATGCACTGCACTAGCACATGTCATGCACTGCACTAGCACATGTCATGCACTGCACTAGCACATGTCATGCACTGCACTAGCACATGTCATGCACTGCACTAGCACATGTCATGCACTGCACTAGCACATGTCATGCACTGCACTAGCACATGTCATGCACTGCACTAGCACATGTCATGCACTGCACTAGCACATGTCATGCACTGCACTAGCACATGTCATGCACTGCACTAGCACATGTCATGCACTGCACTAGCACATGTCATGCACTGCACTAGCACATGTCATGCACTGCACTAGCACATGTCATGCACTGCACTAGCACATGTCATGCACTGCACTAGCACATGTCATGCACTGCACTAGCACATGTCATGCACTGCACTAGCACATGTCATGCACTGCACTAGCACATGTCATGCACTGCACTAGCACATGTCATGCACTGCACTAGCACATGTCATGCACTGCACTAGCACATGTCATGCACTGCACTAGCACATGTCATGCACTGCACTAGCACATGTCATGCACTGCACTAGCACATGTCATGCACTGCACTAGCACATGTCATGCACTGCACTAGCACATGTCATGCACTGCACTAGCACATGTCATGCACTGCACTAGCACATGTCATGCACTGCACTAGCACATGTCATGCGCTGCACTAGCACATGTCATGCACTGCACTAGCACATGTCATGCACTGCACTAGCACATGTCATGCACTGCACTAGCACATGTCATGCACTGCACTAGCACATGTCATGCACTGCACTAGCACATGTCATGCACTGCACTAGCACATGTCATGCACTGCACTAGCACATGTCATGCACTGCACTAGCACATGTCATGCACTGCACTAGCACATGTCATGCACTGCACTAGCACATGTCATGCACTGCACTAGCACATGTCATGCACTGCACTAGCACATGTCATGCACTGCACTAGCACATGTCATGCGCTGCACTAGCACATGTCATGCACTGCACTAGCACATGTCATGCACTGCACTAGCACATGTCATGCACTGCACTAGCACATGTCATGCACTGCACTAGCACATGTCATGCACTGCACTAGCACATGTCATGCACTGCACTAGCACATGTCATGCACTGCACTAGCACATGTCATGCACTGCACTAGCACATGTCATGCACTGCACTAGCACATGTCATGCACTGCACTAGCACATGTCATGCACTGCACTAGCACATGTCATGCACTGCACTAGCACATGTCATGCACTGCACTAGCACATGTCATGCACTGCACTAGCACATGTCATGCACTGCACTAGCACATGTCATGCACTGCACTAGCACATGTCATGCACTGCACTAGCACATGTCATGCACTGCACTAGCACATGTCATGCACTGCACTAGCACATGTCATGCACTGCACTAGCACATGTCATGCACTGCACTAGCACATGTCATGCACTGCACTAGCACATGTCATGCACTGCACTAGCACATGTCATGCACTGCACTAGCACATGTCATGCACTGCACTAGCACATGTCATGCACTGCACTAGCACATGTCATGCACTGCACTAGCACATGTCATGCACTGCACTAGCACATGTCATGCACTGCACTAGCACATGTCATGCACTGCACTAGCACATGTCATGCACTGCACTAGCACATGTCATGCACTGCACTAGCACATGTCATGCACTGCACTAGCACATGTCATGCACTGCACTAGCACATGTCATGCACTGCACTAGCACATGTCATGCACTGCACTAGCACATGTCATGCACTGCACTAGCACATGTCATGCACTGCACTAGCACATGTCATGCACTGCACTAGCACATGTCATGCACTGCACTAGCACATGTCATGCACTGCACTAGCACATGTCATGCACTGCACTAGCACATGTCATGCACTGCACTAGCACATGTCATGCACTGCACTAGCACATGTCATGCACTGCACTAGCACATGTCATGCACTGCACTAGCACATGTCATGCACTGCACTAGCACATGTCATGCACTGCACTAGCACATGTCATGCACTGCACTAGCACATGTCATGCACTGCACTAGCACATGTCATGCACTGCACTAGCACATGTCATGCACTGCACTAGCACATGTCATGCACTGCACTAGCACATGTCATGCACTGCACTAGCACATGTCATGCACTGCACTAGCACATGTCATGCACTGCACTAGCACATGTCATGCGCTGCACTAGCACATGTCATGCACTGCACTAGCACATGTCATGCACTGCACTAGCACATGTCATGCACTGCACTAGCACATGTCATGCACTGCACTAGCACATGTCATGCACTGCACTAGCACATGTCATGCACTGCACTAGCACATGTCATGCGCTGCACTAGCACATGTCATGCACTGCACTAGCACATGTCATGCGCTGCACTAGCACATGTCATGCACTGCACTGCGCTAGCAAGGGTCGTGCACTGTCCTAGTGTGAAGGGGTAGTAGGCCAAAGGAGGGGTTTTTTTGGCGCCTCTAGACTAGACGCACTGCACTGCTCTAGCATGGGTCATGCACTGTCCTAGGGCAGGGGACAGTAGGTGAAAGGAGGGTATTTTCCCAAAAAATAGACGCACTGTACTGCCCTAGCTTGGATCTTGCGCTGTCTGAGTGCAAGGGACTAGTACCGCTTTCTCCCGGACAAAACACCCCCCCATGATAGTACACCCCCGGGTAGCTTGTGCGGGGTGGGTGCTATGGGCGGGCGACCTCGTTTCTACTATACCCCCCTTTTTGGGTGATTTTCTATAACACCCCCCTTTTCTTACGGATTCATTATTATAGCCGTTAACGAGTAGCTGCAATATGGAAGAATATCGCGAGAATTTCTCCCTCGATGAAATTTCGCAGTACTTTCACTTACAATCTGTCGAGATTACCCCCCTCCCACTATTTCGCTGTCGCCACGTGCTGGTGAATCTTCTGCTGCAAGTGGCCAGAGAGGTGCCACATGGCATTTTCGTGGGGGTGATGAAGTTCGCGGCCGAAACTCACATCCGCGCCTCAGACAATGATGTTAAAACGACCATCAAAACACCCACATTGTCTAATTGTAAAAACGCTAACACTAAAATATGCCATATGTAAGCACCCGGGTATTATGTAGCTTTTTCCTATGAGAAGACACCCCCCTTTTTTTTCCTGTATTTTTACATATACCCTAGGCCAAGGAGTGGCGGTGATGGGATGGTGGATAGGGGAGGAGAAGAGGAGGAAACGAGGAGGGCAGCACAGGGGAAGGTCTGACAAGTGTAGGGGAAAGGGTAGAGGCTGCCAAGTAGTTATAAACATACCATCCTGCCCAGGGCTTAACAAGCAAAAGAGTCAGAAATGAATGCTTTGGATCACAGCACATCATGAACACTACTGCCACCCGCATCTCTCTTGCCTATTTGAAACAGTGCATTTTGTTCCATCCATTACCATTAATAATTGCACGTTGACACAGATTTCTCCCTTCTCTCCTCCCTCTCAGAGATCAACTAGCATCCCATGACTAAGCTGACACCACCAACCAACCTCTCCACTCCATGCAGCTGCCCCCCCTGGGGGCCTGACTCCCTCCCCCTTTCCCTGCAAAGTCGTCAGCATCAACTTCTCTACAATCTTCTCAACCTCCCGTGTTGTCATAACACATTGGCTCCCCGTGTTGCTCACTTCATGTGTTGCTTACTACAGTCTTCCGAAGACTCTACGCAGCAATGGCGTTCACCATGGCAATGGACGGGTTCCTCCAACCCGCAGGCACCGCATTGAACCCATACCCACCCTTGGCCAGCTTCCCGATCATGAACTGCATGAACGCCTTGGCGATCTTCCCGCCAGTCACGCCAGTCAGCGACTTGCGGATGAACCCGTATTCCATGGACACCATCGCAGGGGTCTTCGCTCCGCCCTTCCAGATGAAATCCACGTTGCTCCAGGACCCGTCGGCTGCGGGAGGCGCGCCCACGAGCGCCGCGCCGGGGACCCACGACGGCGGCGCGACGGCGACGCCGGCGGCGTTCTTGAGCGCGGCGATCACGCGCTTCGGGTTGTTGGGCTTCCTGGCGTTGAAAGGCACGACGCTGCAGCCGCCGGTGAAAGCGTAGCCAATCGCGCCCCTGGTTTTCAGCACCGCGGCGCACACGGCGCTCGTGCCCTCCACCTTGGTGACGCCGGCGTAAGCCATGGCCGTGCCGTCCGTGCCGCCGCTGTACCCGGACACAGCCTTAGACCACATGGTCTTGACAATGGCGGTGCTGCCGGACTTGTCGCTGCGCCCCACGGGAGTAATGGTGCCCGCGACCTTGCCGACCGCGCCGGGAACGGCCGACCAGGCGGAGATGGCGCCGCTGTAAATCTGGAACGTCTGCGTGGCCGTGAGCACGATTCCGGGCTTTCCGTTGACGAAGAAGCTGAAGGTGGAGACGCAGAGCGGCACGGTGATCTTCCCGCTAGCGACGACGCCGCCCTCTTGCGCGGCGGTCATGGGATCATCGGAGACGGCAATGAGGTAGGTTCCGCCGTTGAAGCCGGTGATTCCGGCGCCTGATCCCACAGAGTCGTATGCAACAACGTCCTGGGAGATTCCCGGCTTGGCCGCGTTCCATGCCTTGATGATCGCCCCGCCAGCCTGGAATGTGGCATGCATCACGACGGAGACGTTTTACTTGATGCTTTCAGACGACGTTGTGGATTCACCGTGCTGGAAATCATGGCGATGGTGGGAGAGAAAAAAAATGCTGGTGTGCGGAAACTTACAGGTGCGAAGGTCGACGCTCCGCCCATGAACCCGGCGAGCGACTGTGAAGCGAAAGATGCAATCAGAAAAGCTACTGCGAGCGTTTTATAGTAGGTGTGGGCCATGGTGTGGCTGGCGAAGGCTGTAATAACAACTTGATATTGAACTAGGTAAGAGAAATCGGGAATCCTAGTAGCTGCTGAAGACGTGAGAAATTGGGTTGTGATTCAATGCAATGCAGTGGAGCAATTTATGCTTCAGATTTTGGAATTCCGCGGTTCGTGCTTTTGGCGGCATGTGGGGAAGGGAAGACAATGTTGTTTCTTTGTGGCATAAGGGTAACATGCTGCGTTGCGAAGAATGGCATCTTACAGGGGTCAGCAAGGTCGGGGCTTGACAAGGATGACGGATTGGTTGCGACTTCCGAATGATCTCGCGCAAATCTCTCGCTTCAACGATTGGTTCGCAAACTCCGACTTCAGCCGCGGCACGGCACTTACTGGGCAGTAACACCCGTACAGGCAGTGCTTGGTCGGTTGTTACTAAATGCGCGACTCGAGTTGGAGGAATCTTTCCAAAATGGAACCTTCACATTATGCTGCAAGCAACTCCGACAACACACGCGCTCCCATCGTCAGCGCAGATTAGACAACGTGACAAACATCCAGTGTGCACAAATAGCAGATTTTAGTTACTTTCATGGTGTAAGTGTGCAATTGAACTAGTTAGTGAAGATTGCACTAAGGAGTAAAACTAGTGCAAATGTGAGTGCAAGGAAAATTCCTTTTCCTTACTTTGCGTCCCTGCTCAGCGCGTACACCACTGTTCCCGCCAACAAATCTCAACAGTGCACCGTTACCACTCGCGACACTCGCCTCGACCATTGTTCCCGCCACTGTTCACGACGCGACCCAACCTCACGGTTCGGTTGGTAACCCGCGCTCCGGACCTCCGCCTCGACAATTCCCAGCCTCGGCGCTAGGCCCGTAGCGCACCCCATTTTCACACATTACCGTTACCACTTGACTTTGCTATATATTCTTCGCTCATGCCTTCGCTCAATGTACTGTTTTGCTTCGATAGTGCACTCGTAACACTTGGTATTCAGAGCCTACGATCTCTTCTCGGACCGCACCCACACCTTCGCTTCCCCACTATCTCAGTTTTTGGGGGGGGTAAGACGTCTCTCAGCGTTCAAGGCACCGCCGCTCGAAGTGCTCTCTCGAAAGCACGCACGGCCACGACCGAGGCTCTCGCTGAGCTTGCCCGACACCCCCGCCATGGCCGAATTCAATCTCGCGACATTGACGCAGGAACAGCTCGACCGGCTCGTACGCCGACTCGAAGATTCGCAGCTTGAAATCGCGACACTCACGGCAAAACGTGACTCCGCCCGCCAACAGTCAACGGTGAATGCACCTGCACCAACACAAGCACCTGCCAATGCACCTGAGCAATCGAATGAGATGATTATCATCTCATCCGGCACACCGTCACATCATGACAGCGTGGGACAGCGCTCAGGCGCAGCCAGTGATGGCGCCGCCCAATCAATGCCCGTCATGGAGAGCAATAGGGCTGCACCAGGCACGAGTGGGCCTCGCGAAGCCCGCCGCCACGATCGGCAACAACGACATCATCGCACCGATGCCGCTCAAACCTCAGCGCCCACCCTGCTTCGATCCTAGCCAACGATGAGGTCCGACGGTTCAATCGTGGGTCTTCACGATGAACGTCTTCTTCGACACGAATTACGTCGAGTCGGACGTAGCGAAGGCACGATACGCCGTCTCGCTGCTATGGGGCCCCGCCATGGACTGGTGGCGAGTCATCGTGACGTCGCCACGCGCCTACGAGCTACCGTCGCAAGAGGAAGGGCCCACGGGTCCAGCTGTCACCTGGAGTTCGTTCTGCGAAACCGCCCAGTACAGCATGTGGGATGCGTGGTGCGCAAGGCTTCAGGTGCGTTTCGAGCCGATCGCGGCTTCTATTTCGGCGCGTCAGAGAGTGCGTACTTGGCGACAACTTGGGTCGGTCCAAGACTATACAAGCGGTTTTCTCGCACTATGCGAGCAAGTCGGCTACATGCACGAAGCGGAGCGGGTGGACCGTTACGTCGAAGGGCTGAAGCCGGACATCTCACAGGAAATCATGCTTCGCGGGCTATCAAATTTCAACGAGATCCTCGCGCTCGCCGAGAAAATCGACATTTTGCGCCGTCCGAGACCGGGGTCCTACAACGGACATCGCCCTCGGGGGCCGACCGAGCACGCCACCGTACACGCCGTTGCGGCGATTGCAGCTGCTGCGACATTCAAGGGGCGCTGCTTTGCTTGCAATAGGCTAGGCCATCGCAAGAGCGAATGCCCAGAGGAGTAGAGACGCCGCGGAGCAGAGCAAGGGAGGGAGTCTCAGAAGCAGGGAAATGTTAGAAACAAGAAGTGATTGAACTAGGAACATTGGGAGTACAAGTAGGAAACCCTAGAGTATTGTACCCCCTAAAGGCTAACCCACTGTAGCCTACACAGCAGTAACATATATAATGTTTGACACACCCCCATAGGCTAAGTGGGGGAGAGCAAGGGGTCACAAGACCAGTCAAGAAAGACAACGCAAGCTCAGGGTGGATCTCAACGTCACCACACACTCTGAGCGCAAGCAAAGGGCCACAAGGCCAGTTCACATGCAGAGGCATATATGCAGCACAAACAACACAGTGCTCTTGATCTAGCAAAGCAAGCATGCAGGTATATATATATACATATATATATATATATAGAGATCACAGTACAGGCAAAGCCTACAGCAAGTGAGGGAAGGTGGGCACAAGCCCTAGCATAGTGCAGAAACGCTGATGATCACCAGACTGAAGTGCCTTGGTGAATATATCAGCTCTGTTGGCCTGAGTGGCCACGTAACGCAGACGAAGCTGACCACGCTGCTGCAACTCTCGAGCCAGGAAGTAACGCAGAGCGATGTGCTTCGTTCTGTGCTCCAGTCTGTGCTCCTCACACAAGGCAATGGCAGCCTTGTTGTCGACGTACAGCACTGGAGGAGAACGAGGCCGCTCTCCCAAGTCAGTCAGCAGGTAGGAGAGCCAGCGCAGCTCCTGTGCAGCCATGGCTGTGGCGTAGATCTCAGCCTCACAACTGGAGCTGAGAACTGAAGACGAGCGAGTAGAACGCCAAGAAACTGAACCAGAGCCAAGGCTGAAGGTGTAACCCTGTGACGACCGCTGAGTAGCCTGGTCGTCAACCCAAGAAGCGTCTGAGTGCCCAGTGAGAACAACTGAGCTCCTCCCTCCAAGCACTAGCCCCATGCCTAATGTACTGCACAAGTAGCGCCGTACCCTCTTAGCAGCAGCCATGTGCTCAGGTCGGTGGCAACCAGGAGCCACGTAGCGAGCCAGAAGACCAAGAGGGTACGTGAGGTCAGGACGAGTGCAAGTCATCAGGTACATGAGGCAGCCAACTAGCTCTGGGTAAGGACCACTCGGCTCTACGGACTCGTCCGAAGGTGGAGCTGAGAGCGAGTGACCTGTGGCCAGAGGAGTGGCCTGTGCCGAGGACCAGGTGAAGCCGAAGCGCTGAAGGACCTGCTGCACCATGTGTGACTGAGTCAGTGTGATGGTGCGGCGTGCTCTGTCCCGGGTGATCTGCAAGCCAAGGTAGCTGTGCAGTTCACCGAAGTCTGTGCACGTGTGTCTCTTCTGCAGCTCCGACTTCACGTGGGCGAGAGCCTCAGTGTCAGCAGTGGCAAAGACCAAGTCGTCGACGTACACGAGGATGTAGAACGGCGGCAGTGAAGTGTCGGTGCGCAGAAACAGCGACGGGTCAGCAGTAGAAGGCGCGAACCCAAGAGCCGCAAGTGTAGTCCTCAGTGTGTCGTGCCACTCACGTGGCGCCTGGCGGAGACCGTAGACCGGCCGCCGGAGGCTCCACTGGGTACCAGGAGGAAACGACCCAGTGAAGCCAGGAGGGCGGCGCAGCCAGATCTCCTCGTGCAGGCTGCCCTGCAAGAAAGCTGTGCTGAAGTCAAGAGAGTGAAGCTCGTAGTCACGCTGAGCGACAACGTGCAGCAGCACCCGAAGAGTGGTCATCTTCGGGGTGGGGGAGAAGGTCTGGAAGAAGTCTACTCCCTCTCGCTGACTGAAGCCTCGAGCAACGTAACGAGCCTTGAAGACAGGCGGAGAACCTGGCGGCCGCTTCACCCTGAAAATCCACATGCCACTGACGATGTTCGCCCCAGGAGGGGGAACCTCGTCGACGTAAGTGCCAGTGGACTTCCAGGATGCCATCTCTGCGCCCATGGCTGACTGCCACTGAGAGGAGTACTCACCCGCGATCGCCTCAGCGTAAGAGCGCGGGGTCGGGATGTCTGGTGCATCCGGGTCTCCCTTAGGTGCAATCAGCATGGACACGAGATGAGATACAGCAGCGGCAAAGCACTCAAACTCCTCCTGCCTGTCCTCAAGGACGTCCGTGCCAAGAGCACACTCACCCCCGACGGACGGAGGACAGACAGACTCAGACTCAGCAACAAGACTCGCAGCGTAGTCTAGGCGACAGGCAGCAGCAAAGTCGACAAGCTCAGCAACTAAGGCAGACGCAGCAGCTGACTCAAAGGAAGGGTCAGTGACAGCAGTGGCCAAGAGACGCGTGACAGTAGGACTAGCAGCACGAAGAGAGTCAGACTCCAGGTCAGCAAGGGCAGGAAGAGAGGACGTAGGAGGAGAAGGCAGCAGGACACGCTGTGGAGCAGTGGAAGGACGAAGCGCCATCTGGTGAGTGCCTGGGACAGCAGGAGGACGCTGACGCGGGACACGACGACTGGTGCGAGCAGCACGAACAGGTGACGCAGAACGAGACTCAGGCGACACAGGACGAGACTCAGGCTCACGACGCTCCGTAAGACCGCCTGTCGGACCAGTGTAGGGAGAAGGACCAGGGAGTGGCGAGGCAGGCGGTAGCTGTGACTGCGACTGGACAGGCGGAGGACACTCTAAGGAGGGAGCAGGACAGGGAGGAGGCGGCTGACCAAGAACCTGCTGAAGAAGGGGAATGAAGTACGGCTGTGGTCGTGAAGTGCCCCTAGAACCAGCAGAGACAGCTCCAGAACCTCCAGC